ACCTGCTGCTTCCACGCAGGCAGCTGGCACCGTGCAGATGTGCCCCCTCCGGGAGGGGGGCAAGACCAGCGCCAGCTGTGCGCAACATAGCTTTGCCCCTGTGGCCACAAAGGAAGCCTGGGAAGAGCTTCTAGACAGCCAGGCATCGGGTCAGGGAGGCGTGCAAGGCCGGCGCTTGACACTCGGACGCCACGAGTGGCATGCAGATGTCTGTGCCGAGTCACAGACACAGCTGGATGGATGGATAGACAGAGAGAGACGCCCGTCTGGCTGCACAGATAGGCGGGCGCCCTGACATGCAGCTGGGCAGATAGGCAGGCAGGCATCCCGAACACGCTCGCACGCAGCCGGACGCATGGCTGGCCGTGCCGTTGACTCGACCCATGCCGGTGGGGTGGAGGGGCTGGGAGACCACGTGTCCGTCCTCCCCTCACGGCTCCTCTCCCCGCAGGACGCAGACCCCTCGCAGACGTACCGTCCAGAGGCAGGGGCGGTGCTGGGCAAGCCGAAGGCAGACTTCAGGAACTACACGGTGAGCTCCTGCCTCCCCCCCCGATGCTCGGGCACTGGGATCAGCCCCAGCTGGGCAGGGACGGGACCGGAGGCTGCTGCTGGCAAAGGCTGGCACTGCCACGCTTGCCCCAGGCAATGCTCCCGACCTGCCCCCGGCGTGCCCCTGAGGCTGGGTGCCGTTGCAGGATGGCACGCTCCTGGACCGCGTGTACAACACTTACCTGCTCATGCACACGCACCAGACCGTTGACTTCGTCCGCAGGAAGGTACGTTCCCCACCCCTGGTGCGTGGCCACCCCCTCCCCAGAGCCCGGGAACGACCTACCTCTGACGGGCCCTGACCCTAGGGTGGGGGCTGGGGTGACCCCCCAGTCCCGGCCCCGGTGCTCGAGCCAGGGGCTCACGGCCAGGCCGTCCCCAGCACGCGGAGTACGGGGCCTGCTCCCATCGCCGCCTGAGCATCATGGAGGCCCTGGACCTGCTGGACGACTTGGTGGACGAGTCGGACCCGGACGTGGACTTCCCCAACTCCTACCATGCCTACCAGACAGCCGAGGGCATCCGCACGGTGCACCCCGACAAAGGTGGGAATGGGGGGAGCCCCGGGGCGCCCTGCTGCTCCCCGGGGCGCCCGCCTGACGCCGTCCCCGCCCTTGCCTTGCAGACTGGTTCCACCTCGTGGGGCTGCTGCACGACCTGGGGAAAATCCTCGCCCTCTCCGGCGAGCCGCAGGTGAGTGGTGGGCCCCGGGGACGTCCGCTCCAAGCAGGGTGCACGTGCTGGGCACGGAGGAGCAGTCTGCGGAGGCAGGAGCTGGCTCCCCTGCCTGCTCTGGAAGGGGGACGCCGACTTGCCCCTCCGGGCACGGCCTCCGCATCAGACCGGCCTGGACCTTAAAGGCTGCAAGGGAGAGAGGAGCAGGGAAGACCCTGCTCGGACCCCGTCATCTCCCGTCCAGCTCCGCTCTCCGCCCCCGCGTGACACGGGCCTATTTGCTAAGTTAAGGGATCGTGGACCAGTGCCCACCAAGAAAGACTCTAAGCCTCCCTCAAAAAGGCTACTGAGAAAGCAGGTATTGATGTCCTGGGGCAAGGTCAAAGGCAAACGGGGACAGGAGGTCACAGGTTCAAAACAAGGGATCTGAAAGGGGAGAGCCCACCAGACAGTGCGCGCCGGCCCTCCAACCAGTGGACACTGCCCAGGGAAACTGCCCGGGGCCAGGGGTAGGACAGCTGCCCCACGGTCCCTGGGGGTCACCTAGCCAGACCCCCCTTCCCAGTGAGGTAGACTGCTAGCTTGGCCAGGGCCAGGGCCAGGGCCAGGAGGAGGTTGGCCAGGAGGACCCAGGACTTTGTGGGGTTGCAAGATGGTCCTGGCTCTGATCCAGGCTCCACTGGCTCTTGCACTGAGCCCCTCCATCTAGGTCACGGCCGCCGCAGCCGGAGCTGTTCGTGTGTCACGCTCAGGCACTAGTGCACGTGCGCCACGGGCAGTGGCAGGGCCGGGATCCCCGACCCGGCAGTGCTGCACCCCAGCCAGCGGGGCCAGAGGATGAGGGGCTCTCAGCTGGCAGCAGCAGTAGGGTGGTGCCCTCGGCGTGCAAGCGCTGTGGACAGGTCCCCAGTAAATTAAAGAGGAGAAAGGGCAGCCGGGGATGCACTAACACGCTCAACCCTGGAGGAAGGAGCCGGCAGGACTCTCGGCTCCACGTGGCAGCCGGACCCACTAGGGCATGCACGGGGCTGCACGGTTTTCCAGCAATGGGAAGCAGCATCGTCCTGGGTGCCAAGGACGGGTGCTTCAGGGGCACGGGCAGGCTGCTCCAGCCCCATCCGTGCTCTCCCTGCAGTGGGCCGTGGTGGGTGACACCTTCCCCGTGGGCTGCAAGGTCCAGAAGTCGGTCGTCTTCAGCGACTCCACCTTCCACGACAACCCCGACACCCGCAACCCCCTGTACAAGTGAGCGCCCTGACCCCGGCCCCGAGACCCTCCCTGCCCCCACCTGCTAACCCTGGCATGACGGCCTGCTGCACAGCTCCCCGTGGGGCCGGGCACCCTGACCCCGGGGGGGGCCACTGAGCAGGGTGTGGGGAGGCTAGCAGGATCTGCTCTGACACCCCTCTCCCTTGCTCAGCACCGAGTACGGGATGTACCGGCCCCACTGCGGCCTGGAGAACGTGCTCATGTCCTGGGGCCATGACGGTGAGGACACGCCAGGACCTGGGGCGGGAATGCACAGGCGGGGTGCATGCTGGGAAGGGGCAGTGTCCATCCGTTTCCCGGCCTGGGACAGACAGGGGAGGGAGTGGACCGAGGGCGATGGGTCCATCAGTGGCGGAGGGAGCAGCAGCCCCCAGGACCTGCCCGAGGCCGAGTGCTTGATCCTCTCGGCGCTGCCGTGCTGTTGCTTCCCGGCGATGGGCCGTTGCGGTGTCAGGCACCAGGGCCGACGCTTCCAGACACGAGCAGGGTGTCCAGCGCGTGCCCGGCCTCCGAGGCGAGCCGGGGGCACAGGCCGAGCGGGGCGGCGGGAAGGGGGCCTGGCGCTGACCCGCTGCTCTCTGCCCGCAGAGTACATGTACAAGGTCATGAGGTTCAACAACTTCGCCCTCCCCCCAGAGGTACGCGAGGCCAGGGCAGGGGCGGCGGGGGGGCTGAGACCTGGCTGGGGCGACCCTGTCACCGTGTTGTGCCCCCGCAGGCCTTCTACATGATCCGCTTCCACTCCTTCTACCCCTGGCACACCTGCGGCGACTACATGCACCTGTGCAGCCCTGAGGACCGGCGCATGCTGCCCTGGGTGCAGGAGTTCAAGTGCGTGCCCCTGCCGGGGCGGTGGCAAGGGATGCAGCTGATCCAGAGCTTCCCCCCTCCTTCCAACCCAGCCACTGGAAACCAGCGGCAGTCCCTGCTGCAGGGAGCCGCTGGAGTGCACGGATTTGCACACGGGGCTGGAAAGCCTTGGGGTTGGAGGGTGCAGGGACCCATGTCTGGGCAAGAAGGCCCTTCTCCAGGCAGCCAGGGGCTGGGCCCCCGCCCTGGACACTGCTGGGCTCGCAGAGCTGGGGGAAGAGGCTGGCAAGAGCTGGGTGGAAAGGTGGGGCGAGTTGAGGAGGTCTTGGCTTTAACCTGGCCCTTGCCATCTGCTCCCCGGCAGCAAGTTCGACCTGTACACCAAGGGCGAGGACCTGCCTGACGTGAAGCAGCTGAGATCCTACTACCAGTCCCTCGTGGACAAGTACTGCCCTGGGCAGCTGTACTGGTGACGGGGGGCCTGGCCTGTAGCTTCCAGGGCTGGGCATGGGGGAGAGACGGCAGCGCCGCTCAGCGGAGAGGGGTGCAGATTCCTGCTAGCCTCTCGGAAAAGAAGCCTCCCCGGGACGTCCTCTCTGCACTCCCGGGCACAAAGCTTCCCGCCCACCCCATGTCGCCGGCCAGGGGCTGCACCTGCATGAAGACAGGTGTGAAGGCAGAGCAACTCAAACGACCATGACCCCGAGGAGCACTTCCTTGTGTAAACCTAATAAAGCCTGTGCTGCACGCTCACCTGTCACCTGCTCGACACCCCTGGTCAGGGGTAAAACAGTAGGAGGGCCCTGACCCTGTACAGAGCAGGAGCGTGGAGGGCCCTAGCTGATGCTGGCACAGGAGGGCCTGCTGTCCCCTCAGCCCTGCTTGCTGCAAGTGCTACCCCTTGCCCCAGACCCACGTCCCCTGGCAGGAGGGGCTGCACCGGCCTCCACTGCGAGCACCTGCATCCAGGGGGGCACGGGCTCCGGGGGATGCGAGCAGGGGCAAGGACCCCTACACGCGGCCCTGCTGCAGGCTGGGACAGGCAGAAACCCAGGCCTGGAATGTCAAAGCTTTATTTAGAAAACTGTAGGAAACGTCTCTGTTGGGGGCAGCAGCTGGAAGAACGTGACAGCGGGGCCCTGCCGCAGCTGAGGGGAAAGCGGGCCGTGGGCCCCAGCACTGCTCCGGACCGGGGACCCTCCTGCCCAGGGCTGAGCCCCGCAGGGGGCACGGGAGAATAAGCGAAGTGGTTTGGATAGAGGCAGAAAGGCCCCGTGAGCACCCGGGGGGGGGGTCGTAACAGCAGGTGGGGTCCCAACACGACCCTGAGCTGCCAGGCACGTGGCGGGCAGTGGTCAGCCCCACGGCACGGCTGCTGGGAGCACCACGCCGGCCCCGGCAGACCTGCAGGTGCCAGATTTGGAGCTGAAGGCACAGACCTGGAGGGCTAGGCAGGCCATGGGGAAGGGAGCGCACCCACCACGGCCTTTCTCCAGCCCAGCAGGGACGGACGAATGGGGCCCGGTGTCTGGGGGAAGGGGAGGGGAGGTGTCAGAGGCACTCAGGCCCCAGCAGAGCCAGGACCCATGCGGCTGCGGCCGGAGGAGGCCGAGACCTGGGGGGTCGCGAGCGCAGACACAAGGCGCCGTCAGTCCATGCCCGGAAGACTGGGGGGGTGGTCGGTGCGCTGGCGGCTACTTCTTGGTGGTGCGGACACGGCCCTCGCCCTTCTCCTCGGCCTCTCGCC